ATATTGATCTCCATATCACTGGGCTTACCAATATGGATGTCCTGTTAGATTTAACTAGAGGGGCAACAACCTACTCTACAACAAATTCACGCAGATTGTAGCACACACACCATATCAAAATATCAGGACAAACTAAAGTGAGCACCGACTAGATACATACGTACATTTATCATACATACATACATCAGCAAGAGCAATAACAGCTTGGTCGCGGCGCCCTATCAATAATCGGAAGTTAAGGTGCCTGTTGTTTTTTTTGCTATTGTGGTGGCAGGTGAAGCTTATAAGCGTTAGTCCCCCTGTTGCAGGTGTGACGTTAATTGTCCCACTAAATGTGACTTACAAAATTTTGGTTAGTGAAATTCTGTTTTTATTCTTCAAAGTATCTTTGGGCTGGCGATATCCCATGGGAGTGCATAACGGCTGGAGGATAACATGCTACTGTAGTGATCATACTAACTGTTTCTTGGAATACAGAAAAAAACAAAACAACGGCTCATTTATCAACTAAGGTATCTATCTCTAGCTTCATCCTGTTGGAATACAAGGAACACATCGGAAAGATAATCATTAATCGTGTCAGTTACCGCTTGACTTAGTAACTCAAATTATATTACTGGGTTTTGTAATACCACAGCCTGTAAGACTTATGCGACTGCAAACAGCAGCTACATGAATAAGTAATACACAGTAGTAGTTGTAACCATAGCCATAGATACAGCTGTAAAAGCTGTGAATAAGGTAAACCCAAAGGTGAGTAAAAACCACTGGATCTCCACCGCCTCATCCGAACTGATAGATGCTAGAAGACTTATTCCGGCGAGCTCCGAATTCAATGAGGAGCGAAAGCTGCACAAGAGGAAACTTACGAAAAGTCTCCGCAAGGACCGTGAACAGTGGTGGGCGACAAAAGCCAAAGAGATGGAGAAAGCTTTGAGGATAGGCAACACCAGGCAACTCTTTGGACTCATCAGGGAAACGGGTGGGAGAAGACAAATCATTAGTGAGACAATCTCGGAAAAAAATGGCACTATAATTAGCTCACAGGATAGACGACTGGATCGTTGGAAAGAGCATTATGAGGAGCAGTTTAATTTGCCCACAGCCACGCTCAACCTTCCGAGCATCCAACACCTCCCTGAATGGGATATAGATACAGGTCCTCCGTCACTAACTGAGGTTACTAAAGCTGTCACCAATCTGAAACTAGGCAAAGCAGCGGGACCTGATGGAATGACGCCAGAGGTATTTAAGTACGGTGGAGACAGCTTACTGTCCGGATTAACTGAGGTACTAGGCAGCGTTTGGGAATCAGAAGAAGTCCCATCGGGTTGGTGTAAGTCACTGATTATCCCCATATACAAGAAGGGAGACAAGTCTTCCTGTGATAATCACAGAGGGATTAGCTTGACTAATATAGTATCTAAAGTCTTAGGCTCAATAATCATGCGTAGACTGAGTGGTGCTCGGGAAGCACAAACACGAGAGAGCCAGGCAGGCTTTAGACCAGGAAGAGGGTGTATTGATCATATCTTCACCCTCCGACAGATTCTAGAACATAGGCATTCCTACCGGCGTCCAACAGTCATTATATTTCTTGACCTAAAGGCAGCATTCGACTCTGTCGATCGGGAAGTTCTCTGGAGATGCTTGGCTGTAAAGGGAATTCCAAGAAAATATATTGCACTGATTAAGGCACTCTATTCGTACTCATACAGCCAGGTGAGGGCTTACGGCGAGCTGTCATCTGAACTGATGACGACCAGTGGTGTCCGTCAAGGATGCCCATTATCTCCTTTTCTATTCAACTTCATCATAGATGTGTTAATGGACTTAACCCTAGGTGACTTCAGCGATTCAGGGATTGACTTGCTACCTGGGAATAATCTCGTTGACTTGGAATATGCAGACGATATAGTCCTTCTAGGCGAAGACGCTGACGAAATGCAGAGTCTTCTAAACACCTTGAACAGCAATCTACGAATGTTTGGCATGCGATTCGCTCCCGCCAAATGCAAGATGATGTTACAGGACTGGACTACATCGACGCCTAGTTTAAAAATAGGAAGTGAAGTGGTAGAGCACGTTGACCGCTTCACTTATTTGGGAAGTACCATCAGCCCCAACGGGCTGATCTCTGACGAAATCTCAGCACGAATACAAGGGGCTCGTTTCGCATTTGTTAGTTTACGCCGACTCTGGCGTAGACGAGATGTTCGACTATCGACCAAAGGGCGGGTGTACTGCTCATCAGTCCGCTCCGTCCTCCTTTATGGTTGTGAGACCTGGCCACTGAGAGTGGAAGACATGAAAAGACTAGCTGTCTTTGATCATAGGTGCCTGCGTTCTATTTCCCGTGTAAAGTGGCATAATAAGGTGAGCAACATGGAGGTTAGGCGTAGAGTTCTAGGTAAACAGGGGAAATCAATCGACGAAGTCGTGAAGCTACATCGACTGAGATGGTTAGGACATGTGTTACGTATGCCAAGCCATCGCCTCCCTCGACGAGCTATGTTAGCGGATATAGGGTCAGGCTGGAAAAAAGCTAGCGGCGGTCAAACAAAAACTTGGCATCAGTCAATGAAATCCACAACAGTTGGTCTTAGCCACGTAGGAAGGTGTAGACTTCCAGGCTGGGGTCCTCGGGACGGTAAAAATCTATGGTTGGAAACAATTGGTGACATGGCTCAAAATCGTTCTCAGTGGCGCAGATGCATCCACTCCCTGTGACTTATGATCTTCAATGAAACTGTTTTGTATTTCTTTATTACTCCTTTGTCTCACACCTCTGCTCACTGTTTCTATTATGCTTTTCTTGTACTTTCTTCTCTTGCTTCGCGTGCTACACGGAATGTGGCGACTTGAACTTCCGCACATTTGTGCAAAGTTCTATGTCGAAAACAGACAGACAGACAGTTGTAACCTTTATATAGAAGATATATTTGAGCAGGTTATTCGTTGGTCTTATATTCTCTAGGCTTACCGTGTCCAACTCAGCTCAGATGAGACGACATAAATATATGCCTAAGTTACAAATCTCCTCCACTATTTCAAAGTCTCACAATCGTTGTTTTCTTCACTTTCAATTCCATAGGAGTTAATAGTCATAGTCATCTAATAGTGAAGACATAATAGTCTTGTAAAGTAAAATCATTTTGTCATCTGAATTCGCTCAGCACAGCTCTATTCTAAACAAACAAACAAACAAACATGAAGTTATACTGCAGAACAAGTGTGAACAGTTAACTGGTAAAGAAGAGAAGGTAAACAAACACCTTGAGTCCATCCACTAACATTTCTTTATAAGTAGTAAGAATTTCAGTAGACTAATAGTAATTAGTGTGCGTCGGTGGCACAGTGGTAGAATGCTAGCCAACCACGCATGTGGTTCAATCCCCGGCCGACGCTAAGCTAGTACTAAGAATGGTAAAGAGGGAAGGTTGGGCATGAGGTTAGCAACTCCATCCTATAAAAATGAACACCAGTGCTATCGAAACTTCAAGCACCTAGCTTGAGTCCCTATGTTCCACTGGGAACGTAAAGGAATATTAAAAATAGTAAGTAGAAGACTTGTGAGACATGTTTTACTTCATTTAGTAGATTTTCATGGCTCAGGACCTTCAAAGACAGTTTTGTCTCCGTTCCATACATCCCGAGTGGGACACAGTTTCATGCTTTGGAGTTCTAGTAGTGGTGTTGTGTTCCTGAAAGGTGGGCTTACTATCGTCAAGTAAACTAGGCGGGGTTTCAAGGTACGCAGGCTGAAAATTGAACCCAGACCACATGTGTGACTAGAGAACATTCGATCACTGAACTAGCAATTTACTTCATACGTAAGGAGTTATTCAGTGGAGAGGACTGATGATGAACTATCATGTATTAGTAGAGGCGTGGTTAAAAAACAAGCAGTTGTGAAGGTCTTGTCTCTAGCGTTTTCATGAGACCTGTATTTATGGAGATACGTGAATGCATGCAATATTCATCCTGAGAAGACTTGATATTATATCATTTGCTGAAAAATTAGTGGTGGTAGCTACAAAAAGCAATGGTGGGCAACGATAACGAAAGAAAAGCAATAAAGAGGCACTCGTTAACAACTTTAAGTCCTTAAGAAACGTGCCCTTAGAAAGCTACGGTGAGATATCTGAGTAGAATGTAACTTTAACAACCGCTATGTAGGGAAGAAAAAACCGTGATGAGTATTTCAGTTAGCAAACGCACACAAGTCGCCAACATCATTGGTGAGCTGTGTTATGATAGGTTAGAAAAATAACCAGAGGTACTACTCGGATCAAAGAACTGCGCCAATCTATGACATTGCTAACTGTTGGCTAGAGTCAAACATGGAGACATAGATTTCCTGTCTGGAGACGTCAGGATAAAAGGGGTCGATGTTTGACGAATTGTTTACAAAGGTGTACACTTTTCTACCTAGATTGTGAAATTTTTCATCCAAATATTCGTTATTCCAGCTATTTTAGGTCCTTGTATTTGCTCTTTGCTTTTCTATGTGCACTTCAGGTGAGACAGATTGAACTTGTGCAAAGTCTTACGTTAATTTAATCAAATACGAAAATACAAGCACCTTAAGACTAAATCACTGTCTGTAGACAAATGGGCTAACATTGGATTAAGTATTTCTGTACAACAGTTCAAGGTGCAACACTTTCTGACCAAAATTAAGTGACCAACCTTTATAACTTCTCTAATTTACTCATTTTATGTAAGAGCAATAGGACGCTTACACTAACTTCAAATTCGATGTCTATGCGGTATAATAAGTAAAGTCCATTAGATTGATGTTTAACCAATCAGATTCACTTACTATTTGACTGTTACAAGAATTATTAGTTTCTCTTGTGCATACAAAATGAAATCCACAAAACATTTGAATATACGTGTCTGGTAGAGTTAACGGCTTCTAAAACTTAATTTTCCAAGCAAAAAGTAGATATACACAGTTTTAATCTAATTTATTATGTACATAAATATCTCTCAAATTAAAAAGAGACATTATTTTTCACTTCTTCGGATACGGATTCTACAGAAAAACAGTGAGAAGAAATGTAACACTTACTCTTACTTCTCAAGATTCCTTTAGCTGGAGTAACATTAACAGGTGGAGTCATTGAAATACAACGAGTCGCATTGAATTCTAACAGATGAATGATAAGAAAAAGGCACAAGCTTACTCTTTCGAAATACCTTTCCAAAAGATACTCGTCTTTCTGATGAAAGTGGAGTATTTGGAAGACGTTTTTTTTCATGGTTACTGGAATCAAAATCAGCTGAAATGCTAGAGGATATAAACTGAGCAATATTCGGTTGGGAAATATCAGTGGAACTTTTAGCGCTACAAGAAAGGACGTCTGACTCTATTGTACATTTGTCGACACACTGTAAAAATAAGTAAATTATGTGAAGAAAGTACCTTTGTGTTTATTTCCAACTTAACTTTTTTGGGACAAAATTCCTGCACAGAATCTTCAATCTTATCATCTAAGCTTGTATCTGTGGACTGAAAAAAAATAAAATAGACAAAATGGAATCTACATCGATTTCAGTAAATGCACGCTTTTTAGAAACCGTTTTTTTTCTTCTTCTTCGCCACCTTCAGCTTCTTTTTTCCACACTAAAAAGATTAAATGAACTTGTTATGTACTAACCTTAGGCTTCGACAGAGTTTTTAAATTCTCTTCTTCATGGACAGTAGGAGTTGAACTAGTTGTCTACAGGCAATTAATGACTTTGTGACGTTCACTTACTTCAGAAACGGTTCAATACTCTGAAGGGGAACACTGTTGTCACTGTTATTCCGCTTGGCTTCTCTAGAGGCGATAATTTTTTCTAAACTGCAGATGTTGTATTACTATAAATACTGTAAATACCGTGAGTTGATTGTTTTTAGAGCGTTTCTGTAGGGAAATTCATTGACCAGTAGATTTTTAAGACAATCGATTATATCACTTAAAGAACACTGCATGCATTAAGTTATTAAATATATTCCATGAAAACTTACTTGTGGACGTTTCTTAACAAGTTTGGTTATCTCTGTGACCAGGGCTAAAACATTACTGGAGTAAGTATTGTGTCTAAATAAAAATTGAAAAGCAGTCTTAATTTATAATTACATAATACCTTGGGAGAGAGGCTAGAAGCACCAAAAGATGTCTAAAGATCAACTGCACAGCCTGCATTTTGACTTTCTATTTTGCGCAATTTGAATACTTTGAATAACACATACCTTTTTCGGGAGCTCTTCACTTATTAAAGTACAGAAATGCATTTTCAAGCCAAGAGCATGATCAACATCATCATTTAACACCTTGCTGAACAAAGCGTCTATAAAGGCCCCTAAAACTGCAGGCCTCTTATGTGATATGTATTGAAGACCTTTGGTAAAAAATTCTCGTGCAAGCTGGCTAACGATAGGTATTAATTTCAACATACCAGCATAAATTTGTCAACCCTCCAGTAGTCTAGTTTATCCCATTCTCTTGCCATAGTTTCAAACATGGCATATAAATAATAAATTATAGTTATGCGGTCCGGAATGTGTATTAGCATGTTGCATAACCGCGTGACAGTTTGCTCCTTTAAATAAGAAGTAAAGACAGAACTCTGAGCCTACCTTCAGAAGAAGTTTGTCTTGCATCCATAAACTGTAGTGAAGACCTTTACAAATCCCCAGCATTATCTCATAATTCCAATCATCTATAAGAAATTATCAAATATAAACTAAATTATAAATCTGCTGGGTATGAAGAGTAATATGTAACGTAGGTTGGAGTATCCAGACAATTATCGGACAATATCTAAACAGAATTCGCATATACATGTCCAAACCAAGTTCACTTTTAACGGTTTGAAAACATTTGGGCATTGGGTATATGATATACATTATAATAAAGGTTTTTGTATTTCCCAATGAATGAAAAACAAAACAATATTGTTTTTACTGACGTTTCGCTATCTAATGTTAATAGCTTTATCAAAGTATTACTAAACCGGAATTTACAAAATCTCAGCATATACATAACAAGGAGTTAAGGGGTGAGAAAATAGACTTAGGTCAAGTTAAAAAGACATTGAAAGTCAAAATAGCAATGATTACTAAACCAAATAACAAAGGTTCATCTGCCTGGCGTCGTTTTTCGTTGTCAAGTTGGTCAATTGGTAAAGATAACAAAATCAAATGTAGGTTGTTGGATACGATCAGTGTGTAAAATTATAAAAGTACTGTGTGTTTACATAGTGAACTTGAAAAAATCATCAGCCATAGGTCTACAGGCTATAGAATCAGGTCACAAAATTGATTTTGACAATATTGAAATAATCCAGAAAAACTTCAGAAATCACAAAGAACGTCTGATATCAGAAGCACTTCATATCAAGTGGAATCCAAATTGCCTGAATCGGAATAATGGACTAAAACAGAATCTGACCTGGTTACAACACCCCCCGTTCCCCATGAAGTGACAAAATCAACACGAATGTGACAAGTAAGTTCACTATATAAACACACAGTACTTTTATAATTTTACACACTGATCGTATCCAACAACCTACATTTGATTTTGTTATCTTTACCAATTGACCAACTTGACAACGAAAAACGACGCCAGGCAGATGAACCTTTGTTATTTGGTTTAGTAATCATTGCTATTTTGACTTTCAATGTCTTTTTAACTTGACCTAAGTCTATTTTCTCACCCCTTAACTCCTTGTTATGTATATGCTGAGATTTTGTAAATTCCGGTTTAGTAATACTTTGATAAAGCTATTAACATTAGATAGCGAAACGTCAGTAAAAACAATATTGTTTTGTTTTTCATTCATTGGGAAATACAAAAACCCTAATTTTAAAGAATTCACATATATCTCCACGACTAACACTAACATTCAACGACTACCACGCAGTAGCACAGTTTTGTTATTCCATATAAGGACTTACTTACTTTACTTCGGCTATCTCCTAAGAGAGGTTGAGCCGGCTTCATGAACATTTCGAGTCATCACTGCCCAGGCGCGGCGATCTGATGCAAGGTTATGCGACAGTGTTATCCAATTCTTGTTCCACAGATGGAGTCCGTAGACGGTTTGTAGCCCCAGCCACTCCATATCAGCCTTGACTGTACCAAGCCATGTTTTCAGCTGTCCACTCCGGCGACATCGCCAAGATGGAAATGGCGAGGGATTTAGAACTGATTTGACCAGATCGTCATCTGGTCGGAGCAGAACATGGTCAAACCACCGAAGGCGACGTTGTTGGACCAGTACTGGAATTTGGTTGATGTTGTAGAGAGTTCATGAAGTTTAATGGGAATCAGGTACGATTGATGTCCCCAGCATCGCTCGGCCTTTTGTTTGAGAGTGCAGCTCTAGCCTTTACACAACCAAGTGTGACCTACGAGGTAGTAGGAGTGGAGTAGGGAGTCCACTATCCATTGGCAGCCAGCCGGTGACCGGAGTCCGGTTCATACCCAGTAAGGTGATGAAAGCTTCGCAAACTAACTATCCAGCTCAGAGAACAAAACCACATCAAATATATAATATATATATATATATTATGGATCTGTTGGTGACGTCTAAGTTATGCCTAGTTTTCATGTCAGCCAATGGAACTTTCAGGTTTTTGTGAAATGCAAACTATGCAGATTGAACGGGTGTTCTAAAACATTAATAGAATAAACCACCTTGCTGACTATATCATTTTAAACCAAGCCTTACATAGTGAGGGATTATATTCTTGTTGCAGACAGCAAGTTAATTGGTGCATAAAAACGAATTAATTATGATCTCCTGCTGTTTGCCAATCAGTGCCAACAGTTGAAATGTTCGGTTTCAAAGCTGCCTTACGTTACCAGATTTTTATCCTTAATGCACCTGCAGTCATCTTATAATATCAGTGGGACTGACTTAAGTTGATCACTTCACAAACCACTCCTGTTTTAAAAGTTTACTGGTGAAAAGCAGAAATCATACAAGCAAAGTAAAAGGGAAATATGTGCACACTTGTAGTCGTTTTGCGAACAAAGAAAAAAAAGGCAACAACTAGTTAACTAATTAATTTGAGTAACACACAAGCAAAACTAACTTTTTCCATTTGGTGACTTTTTTGAAAGAAGCATTGTGACTTGCTTTTGAGCCCTCCATCTCACTTTTTGCTGGTTGGAAGCTAAGGCCTTAGCTAGTCTCTGTACTACTTCCATTTCATGAAAACACGCGCAACTTGAAAATTGCCGCTGTGAATTTGATTCAATGTACAGCACCCGATACAACGACTGAAATTATCCGTAACTTATCAAGGTCATTGGTGGAGTGAGACGCTTAAAGATCATTTTCGTCCATGTTAGTCGGCCATGTTGGATTGCAGTTCCGTAGCTGTTCGTTTACGTGTTTGTTGTTCCATTTATCCTGACGTTATACACGACTTATCTTGTTGCGTATTGTTCACAAATGTTGCGTTTCACCTCATTTTTTGTTTCCGTTGCTGTTAAAATGAATTATTTCTTTGGTTTCGAAAGTTTTCACTACCAGGTCAGTGCATTCATTTCGGTGTAATTGTTTCATACCTTGCATTTATGCGGCTTTCAGTGTTTTAGTTGGTTTTCAGCTGTTAATGAATTGGTACTGTGTAGAAATTTTGGAAATCATGCACATGAAGATGTTTCCCTGGCAGAAGCAGTTGTTTCCAGTTCGTTTGTTGGTTGCAGGTTTTGTTGCTGGCTCATTTGGTTATTTAACATGTAGAAATCTGGGAAACTAATGTCTTTCACGTTTATGTCTACAGCATGCAACAATTTACCAGTAAATCTAGTGAGGAGGGCACGATCAAAGTTGGTATTAGCAAGGTTTTCAAAGAACATGATCCTGGAGAATTAAGAACCAGGGTTTAAGTTGAAGAAGCTTTGAAGCTTTTTGAGAATGTGAATATACCATCAATGTGTCTGCTATCATTTAGAAAGAAATACATTGTGAGAGAATCTAAGTCAAACGAGGTTGAGCCGCATGAAACGTATGAATCTGTTGTATTATATTATTATCATTATTGTATCCTTTAGTTCCTAGAGGAGCATAGGGCTTCAGCTGCGCACCTCCATTGCCTTCGGTTTTCTGACAACTTTTTCACCCTGCTCCAGGTATGTCCACATGCTTTCATCTCCTCCTCGCATGACCTCCTCCAAGTCACCCTTGGACGACCAACTCGCCGCCTCCCTTTCGGGTTCCACTCACGAGGGCTTGTCTAGTGATGTCACTTGATGGTTTCCTCAGCGTATGGCAAATCCATCCCCATTTCTTCCTGCCTATTTGTTTCACAATCGGTTCCTGATTGGTTCGCTCCCAGAGATCCCTGTTGCTGATCTTTTCTGGCCATTTGATCTTGAGTATTGAGCGGAGACAGCTGTTAATGAAGGTCTGTAGTTTGTTTGAGATGCTCTTTATGACTCGCCAAGTCTCTGATCCGTATAGTAGCACTGACTTCACATTGGAGTTGAAAATCCGGATGTTATTTTTGATGCTGAGTGCTGTTGACCTCCACACAGATTTGAGAGTAATGAAAGCTTGTCTTGCTTTTCCGATTCTGGCTTTGATATCCTCGTCAGTTCCACCTGTAGTTGAGATGATGCTTCCCAGGTAGGTGAAGGAGGCTGTTTCTTTCAGGTTATGAATCTATTGTGCTTGTGTGTATTTTGGGGAACTGAAAGAAACTAAACCCTTAAAGGTAAGTGTTACTTATGCTTATTATTGCTTAGTGTACTAGATCCAAATACATGAACTGGGACTGCCCGTAATAGAGCCAGTGTTAACATCCATATGATGTGTTGCAAAGCGGATAAAATACGACGATCTGGTGAGTCTACGAACTATCCCAGTTAAAGGTAAGACATTTATTAGGAAGAATAACGTTTCGGGTTGTAATTTACGATCGGTAGCTTCCTCGAAGTTGTGATTTTTCCGTGACTATAAACACGGATGTCCATGATATTTAAAAAAAAACTAAATAAATTTTCCATGAACCAGTAGTCTTCTTTTCTTCGGCAAAACATCCGTTGATACGATTATACGATTAGGTAGTGTGACTGAGAATCGTGGTTGTTGTGTTTCGGACTAATTTTGCGCATCTGACTGTTATAACCGCGCGTATATAACGCTTTCCTCATGGTACATTATGATATCTAGAAATCATAAGCAAACTGCCATCGGTAAATTTATTTTTCCTTTTTAAATGACTGCAAATAGTGAATAGTTTGAGGTGATAGGGTGGATACCTCTGAACGTTTTTGTGGAGACTAGGGTATATTTAATTTTTGGAGTAGGAGACGATCTTTTCACTACGAAAGTTCTCAGAATTTCCGCTTTTACTTCGTTACTCAAAGATAACGTTAAGTTGCCTACTAAGGTAATAGCTATAGGAGATTACCTTCAGCGGAAACTATATTAAGGTAGCTTTAGGTAATGCGTCATAGAAGTAAGCATAGTAGGTTAGTTGTGTCTAAATGTATTAAACGTTGTGTAACTGATCAAACCGTAGTTCTTACATACGGGTTAGTTTTGTAAATAATGAATGTACCGTACAAGCGTTTACCTTGATTTGCATACCTAGCTCTTAAACATTATGCCTGCATGTGGCATGCATTTAGGGCTATTACGCTGTGATGAATTAGTCCGAGATACTTAAAGTCAGACTTGATTTCTATATCACTATTATCAATTTCACAACAGTCATAGGAATCAACACCTTCAACTAACTTTCGTTTACATCGGAAACTGAAAATAACAGTCTGACATTTCGAAGGATTTAGTTTAAGAGCATTTTCTGACTCCTAATAGAGAGCTTTTCATCTTAGTACAGTACAGTATATTTAACAATACAACACTCAGTTTTAGCAAGCCTATTTAACAGAATATCTCTAGGTACTGGGTCGAAAGCAGATGTGTACTCTAGTAAGGTGCAGCGAATTTAGCCCCATTGTCTATAGTGGAGAAAATATTGTGATGCAAGACTGCAGCTGCATCTAAAGTACGTCTACTGTGTTTACAGGAGAATTGTTTGGGATCGTTAAAGGCTTTAAGTGAAGGTTGAAGATTAAGTAAGAGTAACTTTTCCTTAGTTCGTATATACGTCATTTGCATTGAAACCAAGGAAGCAACTATTATTAACACTTGTGACACCAGAAACCTTGACATTTGTGAGAGAATTTATGAAAGACTTGTTTGGTGTACATACATGAAATGAATAGGGAATACTGGAGGTAATTAGATGCATGAAGGCGTAAGGTATTTAATATCCATAAAGTAGATATGCAAATACCGCAGTTGTTGATCATAGAAATGATGGATATTAGATAACATCCTATGATTCAACAGCATATTAGAAATAAATAAAAATTGTTTCTTAGATCATTGTCAAGTGAACAGTCTATTTGATGATGTCACAGCATATTAACAGATTAGTGAAGCAGCTATCAAGCCTAAGTTACTACATTTACTTGTACCACATCCTTGGCGTTTAACAGTATACAGACTTGCAACTGGCTAGATAAGGAGACTTCAGCGCATTGAACAGCACAGAATTATTATTCAACTTGCTAAGTCCCACTTAGCTTTTACAATGCGCTATTGTGTAGAAACAGACACGAAATCCTATTCATGACTAAAGTAATAGTCTCATAATACTACAGTAAATCTCCATCCCACTAACTAAGATTAGCGCTTTTTATTCCTAATTCACTTATTACAAAAGCACATAGTATAGCAACCAATTGGAAAAGTCCAGAGGAATTACAAATCAAGAGTATATTAGACATTTGATCAATTTACAAAAGAAAATTCTGATGAAGTGTATTAAAGTTAGTTTGACCGAATGATGTTTCCGCTGATTTCATATTCGAAAACCTCCGTATACCTGAAAAAACAAGGTACATGTAAGATTTAGCATAACATGAAGTTAAAAGAGATAATTCTACATATTAGCATATACCATGAACACAATGATTCTGTCAATACTAAGTAATATCTCATGCAGATAAATGCATTTGTAGTCTACGGCTGATTTTTATGTTGACGCCGTATACATAAATAGACATCATATTTTTCCTGTATTAGAGGTTTATACGCAAATTTGAAGACAATATCTGAAACATCCATACTGTTGAGGCGTCTTTCTCATATTAAGATTGTTTGCAGATCAACTTCACACTAAATATGTTTACATTAAAGGAAGTATTGCAGATGCGTAACTTAGAAATTAATTCACAATCTCAGTAATGTCTAGTCCACAGGGTTTTGTGAATCCTACACAAATCACTATTTCACATTTAGGAGACTAAAGGCATCAAATATAAGCTGAATATGCCTCAAGTCTAGGCAGCTATGCACAGTGCTAACAACAAAGTGAAAAACTTCATGTCAATGCAGTTGAAGATTGAACGATCAATTCATGGTTGTTTGCTCAAAACCAACTTCCCCAATTTTCGCGGAGGCATCAATACGACAGTCATCGTCTCATCGGTCGCTGATCAGAAAGAAGATTAAACAACCGTCAGAAGTAATATTGTGATTTATTATTGGAATATTTGTTCACAGACCTTAGTCATACGTCATTTATATGTTGGTGTAACAATAAAGAATCCTTGTCAGTCACGTCTCATAAACCGTCAATGCCCAGCTCTTGCTACGCTCGGGCCCACGCTGTTCCTTGAAGTTTTTCAGAAACGCTTAATAGTAACGGACGCGAAAACCAAAACACCGATTGGCCGCTTGGGAATTCTTTATTGTAACACCAACATATAAAAAATATTTCTATTAAGGTCTGTGAACAAATATTACAATAATAAATCACGAGATTACTTCTGATGGTTTGCTACTGACTTCTTTCTGAACAGCAACCGATGAGACGATGACTGTCGTATTGATGCCTCCGCGAAAATTGGGGAAGTTGATTTTGAGCAAACAAGCATGAATTGATCGTTCAATCTTCAACTCCATTGACACTCCCCGGCAAAATACATATCCATCCCATTTTTCCATCACGACAAATACACGTTGACTTGGACGCCATTGCGAGAACCTGGGTCACACGGACAGAGCTGAAATGGAAAACAAACAGAAAAGCCAACACACCACA